CCCGTGCCCACCCCACCCCACCCCGGCCCGATCGGGTCGGCAGGGGGCCAGCCCGGAAGCCAGCTTCCTCCCAGGCTCCCCCTCTGGCTACCACCAAGCTGCCTCGCAGCCAGGCCGGCTGGGCATTGGCGCTGCGCTCCCTGCCTGGAAGATGTCAGGGATTTTCTCATGAGGAGACCTGGCTCCAGTGCCACCCGGCTCACAGGGTGAGCCCCGTGAGCCCCGGGATCCCGGAGGGAGAGTAAGTTCAGCCACGCCGCCGCCACCTGGGCTTTCTGCTGGGAAGACCTTGTTTCGTGTGCGGGGTCTCCCTAGATGAGCGCTGAACGAGTGCGTCAGGGTGTGGGGAGGTTGGGGGCCGCGGTGCCCCCCGAATCGCTGCCGGGGTCAGAGCTGCGCAGAGGGCAGCCCTCCGCCCCGGGAGGTGCGTGTCTGGGTGGGGGTGGGGATTGCTTGGCCCAGAGTCCCTCCTGATGGGAGCCGAGGAGGAGAGGATCTCTTTTAGCCCCCGGAGAAGACAGCCCAGCCAAAGGCTTGTCCCTGGGACAGAAAGTGACTGAAGCTGGTGCCAATTTAAAAAAAAAATAGCCTGTCCAGAAGGGGCTGGCCCGGGTTGGTTCGCAGTCACCAGGAATGGAGGCTGGGCCTGAGGGTTTGCCGTGCTTAGTGCAGGGGGCTGTCAGAGCCCTGCTCAATGTTGGCATCAGCTGCCTGAAAACCTTGGTTCTACCTTGCTGCTGTATTTTCCAGGCAACGTCACACCTCCTGAGGACAGCCAGGAGGATCCAGCTTTTGCTGAGCTGTGCATCTTGCCTCCTTCCTTCCAAAGAAAAGCTCCAGATCCCAGCGCTGCCGTATGCCCCAGTTACAGGCCTCCCCCGCACCCTGGTCCCCTCCAGCCCAGGCCAGCCCTAGAGCTCACCTCCAGGACCTGCAGCGTGCCCTCCTGTCCAGAATGACTCAACATTATTTCTAGCTCAAGTGAGAAGACCGGGATGGGGAACTGGGCTGGCTGTGTTTGTGTCTAGGATTCCCACAACATCTGGCCAGCTCTACAAGGAGAGAGCGTTGGGTTCACGCCTGGCCAGGTAAATCATATTGTCTAATAACAGTGGGATGTAGTCACCAGAATGGTGTTCCCAAGATCTCAGTATGAGTACCATACCTCCCAGGATACAGATAGCCCCAAGATGGTAGCTAGCACCTGAACAGGGCTCCTTTCTCACCTCTTAGGATAGGGCTCAGCCCCAGGATGCTTTGTGGTGCAGAGGATTCTGTACACCCCCCCTCCATACACACAGCTTCCTTGAGAGATTGCTCCTTGTTCCTCAAAGGTTCCCAGACAAGTTACAAGGTAAAAAGAAATTCTGCTTCTAGTATTGGTAGGAGACATAGTGATCATCTTGTTTCTGAACTCTTGGTTGAGAAAGAGGAGGCAGTAAACAATAGGCTAGGTCAGGCTGCTGGTGTCCAATGCCTAGTGGTCTCATGTCCCCAACTGCCTCTGTCTCTCCAGCCTTCAGAGAGCTTCCAGGGCTCTCCTGCAGGAGTGCGGTCCAATGCTGCTGTGTTTCCTGGGGCCGTTAGCAGCACCCTGAGCCCTTTTGCCACCAGGCATCTGCAAGGCGTAGTGACAGGCGCTTCTCTCAGTCCTAATTATGACGGTGGCCACCGGAGACCCAGCGGATGAGGCTGCTGCCCTCCCTGGGCACCCACAAGACACCTATGACCCAGAGGCAGACCACGAGTGCTGTGAGAGGGTGGTGATCAACATCTCAGGGCTGCGGTTTGAGACCCAGCTAAAGACTTTAGCCCAGTTTCCAGAGACCCTCTTAGGAGACCCCAAGAAGCGGATGCGGTACTTTGATCCCCTCCGAAATGAGTACTTTTTCGATCGCAACCGCCCTAGCTTTGATGCTATTTTGTACTACTACCAATCTGGGGGCCGGTTGAGGCGACCTGTGAATGTGCCCTTAGATATATTCTCTGAAGAAATCCGGTTCTATGAGTTAGGAGAAGAAGCAATGGAGATGTTTCGGGAGGATGAAGGCTACATCAAGGAGGAAGAGCGTCCTCTGCCTGAAAATGAGTTTCAGAGACAGGTCTGGCTTCTCTTTGAATACCCTGAGAGCTCAGGGCCTGCCAGGATTATAGCCATTGTGTCTGTCATGGTGATTCTGATCTCAATCGTCAGCTTCTGTCTGGAAACCTTGCCTATCTTCCGGGATGAGAATGAAGACATGCACGGTGGTGGGGTGACCTTCCACACCTACTCCAACAGTACCATCGGGTACCAGCAGTCCACCTCCTTCACTGACCCCTTCTTCATTGTAGAGACTCTCTGCATCATCTGGTTCTCCTTTGAATTTTTGGTAAGGTTCTTTGCCTGTCCCAGCAAAGCTGGCTTCTTCACCAACATCATGAACATCATTGACATTGTGGCCATCATCCCCTACTTCATCACCCTGGGGACAGAGCTGGCTGAGAAGCCAGAGGATGCTCAGCAGGGCCAGCAGGCCATGTCACTGGCCATCCTTCGTGTCATCCGGCTGGTAAGAGTCTTTAGGATTTTCAAGTTGTCCAGACACTCCAAAGGTCTCCAGATTCTAGGTCAGACCCTGAAAGCCAGCATGAGAGAATTGGGCCTTCTCATCTTCTTCCTCTTCATCGGGGTCATCCTTTTCTCTAGTGCTGTCTATTTTGCAGAAGCTGATGAGAGAGAATCCCAGTTCCCCAGCATCCCGGATGCCTTCTGGTGGGCAGTCGTCTCCATGACAACCGTAGGCTATGGAGACATGGTTCCAACTACCATTGGGGGAAAGATAGTGGGTTCCCTATGTGCAATTGCAGGTGTGTTAACCATTGCCTTACCAGTCCCTGTCATTGTGTCTAATTTCAACTACTTCTACCACCGGGAGACAGAGGGAGAGGAGCAGGCTCAGTACTTGCAAGTGACAAGCTGTCCAAAGATCCCATCTTCCCCTGACCTAAAGAAAAGTAGAAGTGCCTCTACCATAAGTAAGTCTGATTACATGGAGATCCAGGAGGGAGTAAACAACAGTAACGAGGACTTTAGAGAGGAGAACTTAAAGACGGCCAACTGTACCTTGGCTAACACAAACTATGTGAATATTACCAAAATGTTAACCGATGTCTGATTGAAACCTATTATCATAATTCACGGCTCCATGGGACTAATGCAGATGTTGCATAATAGCCTGCATTGTAGTCAGTGTGTTCTACAGTGTACATCTGGTTCTGCATGGAAAGCAATAGTCGTGCAAGTAACTTTTGATCTTAAGATTTTTGATTTAGAACCCAGAATATCTATCATGGCTTTCATGCAAATCTTTATCACTGGCTTAGGGGTTTCCAAAGACGAGGGTCACCTTATGGAGCTAGGATTTCAGAAAGATATATCAGGTAACCTCATTTCCTATGTATAACCCACTCTATCAGCACCACTCATCCTTTCTAATTAAATGCACACAACACCCAGGAGATGGCCTCCTCTCATCCCCTACTTAGCCCACCTGCCCCACCACAGAGGGCTTAACTTGAAAGCTCGGATGATTATTCAAAAGGTCATTCCTCACTCCATTTCTTCTTCTTCTTCTTCTTCTTTTTTTTTTTTTTTGCATCGAAAAGAACACACAGTCCTGTGTGTTGGAATTACTCTCTGTGTTACAGGCTGGGGTTTGTGAGTTACAGTTGCCAAGTAGATGCTCTGGAGGCCTGGGTTTCATAACAGAAAATGCTGCATTCTGCTTTTTCCCCCCCTCTGCAGTGTTGATGTGAGGGAATCCTAGGGGAAGGACAATTAGTTAGTATGACTGAATAGGAGTTGTCCAATTTTCACATTCATTCCCTTTGGCTGTGAGGAGAAGCTCCCAATCAGGGGACTTCTCAGTTTCGGTTGTCACCATATTTTTGCAGGCTTCAGGGTCACACACACACACACACATACACACACAGACACACCACAAAGAAACCATGTCTGATCTCTTCATTTACATTAGAGTTTAGAGATGTCTGCTTTCCTAATGATGTTGCCCAGCCACGCTGACACTGCAGTGAAATTTACTAGTGATGCCAGAGCTGCATGGGTGTCCATTGCATGAAAACTGGATATTTAAATCACAGGAGCTAACCTATTTTCTTAGTAGCCTACACAGTATTCATACATAGAGTATTAATAGCCTTGGATGGTATCTATCTAGGATTTGTTGGTTTGTTTTTCCCCATCAGAAGGCAAAAGCCCTCCATTACAAATAAATAAACTAGACTGTTTGGAATGGGGAACCAAAATTTCCAGCCCTTCAGCCTACCCAACTCTGTTATTTCAATGAGAGACAGACCTCTGCAAAGCCAGGAGAAGGAACAGGGAAATCAAAGTCTAAACACTCACAGACTGCACCTTAGGAATGAACCTAGTCTTGGGCAGAACTTCACAGCTAACCAGGGCATCAGTCTTGAGGACAAGCAGGTCTGTGGATCCAGTGTACATAAATATATATCAGGTATCTCTTGCTCATGTGTTCCTCTACCTAGCTAGCTATAGAAAATTGCATTGGAACATTGTATAAGCTTATGCAATATTTTTGACACAGGGCAATTTATGCATGTGTTTGACTATGTGCACTAGAGTATATATATGTATGCAGATACATATATATACATACCTATGTGTGTATATGTACACTATATGCACACGCACATATATATATGTATATGTATGTATGTATATATATATATATTCATTCTCTGGAGTTCTGGCTCAGGAGCAAATTCACTGCTTGGTGGGTTTATTGTATAAGTAGCCCAATGGGTTCATTGGTAACCCCACAAGGCCTGGGTTTGCTGCCACTGTCTCAGATACTCCAGTCTTCATGGATTCCTAAATATTAGAATTGTCTTTCTGCCCTCCATGTGCTGCAGCTTCAGTTTTCCATGGCTGAAGCTTGTCTTACTGAGTGCACAAGGGCCCTATTGGCCCTCACAGCGCCAGCTGTCCTGGGTCAGACCCACCCCAGGCCTCCTCTCTTCAGTCCATCCCATGACTCATCTCCATTTTCATCCTCTCCGTTCTGTTTGGTTTTCAATATCATTTGGTTCTGCAGTCATCTTATTCATGAACCTGTCCCCTAGAAAGCTAGAAGGGATCCCCTGCTTTGAAACCCAGGAGTAGGATTCCCACTGATCTGGACTTAAAAGGAGCCTTCCATGTGGAAGTTTCTAATGTCTCGGACCAAGGGAGACAGTCCCTAGTTGACTTAAAAGCATCACTTTGAATGTCAGACTCAAACTCTCTTCCCATTCATTGGTAACAAGAGCTCCTTAAAGGGGGCCGGGGGGGGGGGGGGGGGGGGAGGAACCAAAGGACAGGTAAAGAATTGTCCTCTACATCCCCCTCCAAGAACAGATTAGTTATGAATGAGCCTTGCACAGCCTAGAAGCAGAGAATAGGTTGGCCCTGGCTTTTGCCTTACAGGCTGAGCTTGACCTTTTGATATAATGGCTTAAAATTCCCCCAAACATAGTGAATCATGGTATTCAGGCTGTGTAGTGGTGGCTCTACTCCAGGCCTCATTGTCAGTTAGCACTTACTGTTGTCTTGCGGGGTGGGGAACACCAGCTCAGGGTGCTAACCCAGGGTGCTCATTAGTTCCTGGTCACCTACATCTCCAGGGTTCTGCAGGGCATCTCATGCTCAGCACGAAGCCTCTGTGCTTCTCTTCCTCTCTTTCATAGGAGATGGTGCTGAATTTCAAGACACGAGGTAGGAAGGAAACAGGTTTTTGGAGAACAGAGAACTGAAGCAATTCATAAATTGAGGCCTACAATAGAAAGGGAGGAGGGAGGAAGATACCTTATCCTGTGGCTATAAATTGTTCATACATGCACGCACATCTCCTACAAAATAGATAACATCATTGCCACACACAAATACAAAATACATATTAAAAATTTCATGCAAAATGTAAAAGACCTACATATGCACAAATAATTCCATAGCATATATCTCAGATACAAAAGACACAAAAACTACACATATACCATAGATACGCATGCATACAAAATACACACAACATATTATTGTTTCTGCACACAAACACACACAAACTAAGCATATGCCCATAATGTACATAGTTACACTAGGCACACAAAATACTACACATGTGCCCCCAAACACACAATACAGATACACAAAATGCAGACATAGTCAGATCCCTTGCTTTGTGTCCCCAAGATCTATACATTCATTGGCACAGAGAAAAGATTAGGTTTAATCACCTGTGATCTTGCTTCTCTAGTAACTTCTCTCACCTCCAGTTCAGTTCTGAGATTTCAAGCAGAAATCTCATCCTCTTACCACCTCAGGTGTACAGCATTGGAAAGACTCATGGAGCTAGCAGCCTAAAATGAGTCTCTCAGCCATGCCTTTTCCTTCAAAGTAAGTCCATCCAGACAGGCCACAAGCTCAAGGTCCCCTCCTCCCAATACCTGGGATCTCCAGATTCAACCCCATTCTCTTAAAAGCAATGATAGCTCTTGGGAATTGTAGGATCTCGGAGCCCTGAACCAGGGCAAAGATACCCCCAGTGCTCTTTGAGTACAGGACTCATGTTGTTCTTTCCTCCCCAGCAGCTTTGTTGAGGGCCAGGTCAGAAAACTGAGCCTCTGTATTGACTGGCCTCTTAAAATGAGCCACCTTTAATTGCTCATGGCATTTCACTCTCTCTTTGGCACCAGTCCAATAAGGTCAACTCCTGATTCCCTTCTGTGGGTGTTCAATTCTAGGCATGCTCTTCCTTCCTGGCCAGGCCCCCCAGGGAGGCCTGCCGTCCATTCAGTTGCTGTGCCTTGAAATGGCAAAACAGTCCAGTTTAAGTAGGATGTGATTGAGAATATTAGCCTAAGGCTGAAGAAGCAAATAATTAATTTTTAGAGGCTCTGATTTGTTTATCCTATATTCTAATACCTGACTTAAATTCTTTGTAAGATTAGTTGACCATTCATTGCCGGGAACTTAGCTACTTAGGAAGTTAAGATCTGAGAGTGGTGGTTCAAAGCCAGCTACAGCAGAACAGTCCATAAGACTCTTACCTCCAATTAACCAGGAAAAAGCCAGAAGTAGTAGTGTAGCTTAAGTGGCAGAGTGCTAGCCTTGAGAGAAAAACCAAGCAAGAGCATGAAGCCCTGAGTTGAAGACCCAGTACACAAATACACATTCTCACTCTCTCTCTCTCTCTCTCTCTCTCTCTCTCTCACACACACACACACACAGATTATCCACAATTGTGATTACCCTTGGAATGTTTCTTCTTTCTAGGGAGACTGAGGCCTAAATATGTTTTGGCTAGGAATTCACCTAAATTGAAGTTCGGATTGGGTATGGTCTCCTCTTTTGTGGCACTCTTTTCTCCTAATGATGGTCCAGTGCCCATCTCCATAGAGGAGAAACATAGCAGGGAGTTTTGGACATGGATCTAAAATCCACAAGTGCGGCCTCTAGCAGGGGGTAGATACCTAATCTGGGATAAAGTTAGTGCAACATGCACTAACCTATGTGTTTCCAGGTCAAGATACTGACTTTTTCCTTAACTTCAGTGCCTCTGTAGGCTCAAACTCCATGGGTTTAACAGAAGAAGGTTGGAGTTTGGGAGACAGTTGGAGAGGAAAAGGCCTAGGAAAGATGAACAAATTGTCAGGGAGAGAAAATAACCGAGTTGTCAACTTTCTGAGTAAGCTTTTCAAGAGCCAAATTTTCATTCATTCGTTCAAATCTAATTTGAGAGGTCAATTTTAATTTAGTTAAGACTCTGTCCTGCCTGGAATGTCAGTGGTATTAGATACCCCCTTCCTCTCGGCTTGCCTCTATCTCACTCAGCAGGGCTTCTGAGACCTTTTCAAAAGATGAGACCTTCAAAAAGAGGCCCCCCAGGGAAGATCCAGGTATGGAAAAGGTTCTTAGGAAAGCTCCGATGGGCCTAGTCCCCAGTCGGGCTCAAGTCCCCAGGCCGTTCATGTTGCTGCTCCTTATGAGGAGGACTTCAGGACTAGCTTGTCCTATCTGCATTCCTAAGAGCTGTCATTCCATTGTATGAACCCTGGACAACTTCCTCATGGTCAGCCATAACAGATCAGCATCAACAAT